ATCAAAAGTCGAGGTCGGTCACCTGACACTTTCTTGGATTCTGGTTCGAAAACCCTTTTTCACCATTCTAATCCATGGCTATTTGAGGTCCATCCATTTGTACTAGTAGAGAACTGCCAGCTTTGAGGTGTGTCCTTTGGAATCCATGCAGAATTCGTATTCTGAGCCTTGAAAATGACCATAGGTGATAGAGCATTTCCAGCTGCATTGACACATTCAAATGCAGTTATCCATTCTTGCTTGCCAGCTGTAACTTTCCAATTCGATTTCTGAGTAGAATCGACTATAATGCGCGTACTTTGAGTACTTCCAACTCCAAATCCGGTTTCATCCATATTATACATATCATCTAATTCATACTTTCGCTCAATGAGACGCGTGCGAAACGCGTCAAACCAAGCCTGAATATTCTCCGGAGTTGCTTCTTTAGCCCGATTAGACTCTAATTGACGTGAATAGCATGTTTTAAGTTCTGGATGTCGTTTTTGGAATCTATAGATCCATTCGTGGCCTATAGGTGGAATTTCTGTCGAGGTAGGATTTCGAGATGACGCGACCCGAACGCGTCGAAGACGAATTTCGTCGGCCATTTCCTTCACCAACATAGGTGTAGCAGGGAATCCAGTGATGGTAAGTTGTGAAATCCATCGTACAAGAGTATTTTCTTCTGCGTTTGAAAGAATTTGAGCCATTTCGTGGGTTTGGGAACGTGTTTTCTTCCCAGCCAGCCTATCAGCTAGGGTAGACTTAGGGACTTCAAAATGCTCTGCAGCCTTTCTAATTGATTTAAATTCTTTCAATTGAAGTGAAATTATAGCCTTTTGAAGCTTCTCTTCAATTTGAGCAGATGTAGAAGGTGATTGGGTATGCATAATAAAAGTTATTGCGGTTTCAAGTTGGTGATGGGCTAAAAGTGTCCGAGTTCCCCATATGTCCGAGTTCCCCATACGTTACGTTATTAAAAATTTGAGTTAATATAGTAGTTATTATAGGAATAGTTTTTTTGTAACGAAAATCGTGACAATTTCCACTTTTTATAGAATACAATAGAAATTTTTATATAGAAACTTAATACTTTTATAAAAAATATTTTCTTATTAATAAATCTTTTTTGTTTTTTAAAAAATATTGATTAAGTATTAAAATATGAATATTAGGAAAAGGCTAATTTTGGTGTATTTTGAAGTGGTGCATTCGGTGATATGGTGCACTCGGTGTTAAACCACGTTAAAGGTAATTATAGATCATATAGTTGACATCGTGATATTAGTTATATATTTCAATAGTTTATCTCCTTTTAACTTCTTTAACCCTAATAATAATAATAATAATAAATTCCTAATTGATTTGGTTTATTTAGTTATACTAAGATTATATAATACATTTATATCTAGTTTTAATTGAATAAAGTAAATAAAAAAAAGAATAAAAACTCATTCTTCTCCTTATTAAATCCTTTAATATATTTATAAAAACCCTACATTTTCTATTCTATTATAATAATCCTTCTCTTTCTATTCAACTTCTCTCGAAATATTATAAAAGCTATAATTAATTATAATATTATATCCCTTTCGAAGAGTTATTTTCTCCCTCTAATTTATTAAATTCTTTAAAAATTTGTTCTATTATAACCTCTAATCCATTACTTATAAGCCTTATATCCACCTTTTCTCGTTATATATTTATAACATATAATTTATTCTTAATACTTATCATCTCCTATTCCCTTTTATTCCATCAAACTACCCTATCGATATAAAACACATTATACTAAGACCTACTAAACCATCCTATTAATACAAAAAACAAGACTACATTACAAAACTAAATAATTAAATAAAATCAAAATAATAAATATAATAATATTGAAATACTATCGCTCTAATAATATACATTCTACATTAAAAAAATCACTACATCTTCAATTATAATCAATAATATATCGTCTACTATACAAAATAATATCGAAATTAATATTTCATAATAATATCATATATTAATAATAAAATACTATATACTCAAACTAAACATATTATAAATATATAGAAAATCTAATATTTATCTTCATCTATATAAAATAGCTATAAACATATTAATAAAATATCAAATACTATATTAATATATTTCTTATAAAATATTTCTTGAAAAAAACAAAACTTTTTAAAAAGTTTTCATTCTTCATTTTCCTATACTTAAAAACCTTCTTTTTCATAATTGAAACCCTCTTATAAAGCCCTCAAGTACTGAAAAGCTCGGATTATCATAGGAATCTATAATTTAATCTCTTTCATTAATTATATTTAATATAATAAGCCTATTATTAATAATTTCAATATAAATATACTAAACCCCTCTCCCTAATACTAACAACAATATCTCCCCAACCCAAATAAATATCAATTCAACAACTTTAAAAAGAAATAGAAAGTAATATTCTACTTCAAATACAATAAAGGTTAATAAGTTTTTTCAAGAAAATCTTTCCTTAGTTTTTTCGTGTTTTTCTTTTTATAGATATATATATATTATTAATAATATCAAGAAAATCTTTAATTCGCTTTAAAAACATTATATACAAACTTTAATCCTTTATATAAACTTTATATTTAAAATTAAAATCATAAAAATTATATCATTCAAAAGCTTTTAATTTATTTTGTATGAGTATTACTTTTTTAATTTTTTATTCAATTTAATTAAAATAGTTTTATTAAGAAAAACAATTTATTGAAAAAGATAATTAGATATTATATTATAACGTAGTTTATTAGTGTATATATTATATTAATATATATACTACTTTAAAAATACATCAAAATCAAGCTTTTCTTAATATTTATATTTTAATAATTAATCATCATTTTTTTGATGAAAAAGAATATTTAATAATAATAATAAATTAAATATTCAAAAATCTAATTTTTATTTAAATGTTCTTATTATATTCTAAAAAGAGTTAGAATTATTACAATTTTCATTACAAAAAATGCTTTTTATAACAACTACTATAATAATTCGACTTTTCAATTTGTTTTTAGAAATTCATAATATTTATATAATTAAATGTTATATATTCAATCTTCAGAAAATTCTATTTATAAATAAAGAAAGTATATGATTATATACAAACGAATTTTGTATTTAAAAAGAGTATTATACATATTAATATAATATATATACTAATAAACTACGTTACTATAATATTAATAAAGTCAAAATTCATTCTGACTAATCAGATCGCTTGAATTAAGTCTTACTAGTACGTGTATAGTATGAAAGAAGGACGAAGTCTTATTATGCTATATAGAAGCTATTTATATGTACCTAGGTACTCTGGTGCGCTAGTATTAGCGTACCACTTACTAAGTAAGAGTTTCTTTTATATATATATATATATAATATTTTAGTCCTCGCGAATAGTAAGATTATTAAGAAGATAAATCTTTAATTAATTTAGTTTATTTTATTAATAATCTTGTATATAATCTCATCTCATACTACTTCATTATAGATTGATTTAATAAGAGATATAATAATAATATTTTATAATATAGAATATTAAAATCATATTATACTATCACGGAAAATTCCGTGTGTACCGTACTAATTATTAAACTCTTAGTATATTAATAATCCACGCTTATTCAGGGTATAAAAGATAGATATGATTCTTATAATCATACCTTAAGTAATTCTAGTCTATTATAACTTATTCTTATTATTCCCTGTATAAAAGTAATCAAGCGGCGTAGCTATCCTCCGTAATATACACATATATTAGTCATCGATATATCTCTTAATTAGTAAGATATTAATAAGTAATTTAGTATATTTATTATAGAGTTTTATAAGATTGAAAGCTCAATACACGCCAATGATTATAATAGTATATATTGTCTATAATGCTTTGTCATTCATAAGATTTCTTCAATTTGAATCTTTCTTCCTAAAATCGTTACGATATTCTTGTATAGAATAGGCTCGGGCTCGTTGAGATATATATGCAGCGGCCTGAACAACTGGGAGAGGTGTGAACTAGAGCTTGACAACGAGCACGGCAGTGGAGTCACTGTCAGTAAAGTGCACTCCTAGCTTTGCTTCCAAGAGCATCAGCCCTCACAGGACCAGATCAGCCACCCAAAGACCTAGCCGAGTGAGTCGCCTGGCAGGTTGCGAGCATGAAATTTCTCATCATTTCATGACCTCTAAATGATGGTCACACTATTTGAAGAAAGTTTGACGTCATACCCCAGATCGGCTAGCCCTTTCTCGATGTCTGGATTCAAAGTCAATGCTCGCGCCAGGCGAGGAATTAGCGTTAATTATGTCGGCGTTTCGGGTACGCTGCCCCCAAGCTCGATCTGAGATCCTTGCATTCGGAAGAGATCTCCTACAAAGCTTGTGATTAGACTCTTGATTGACTGAGACAAAAAGCTTCACTGCTACCAAAGTCCTTGATATCTTCGAGCATAACAGTCATATCCAGTCTCATAACCTCATCAACTATTAGAGACCTTATGTCGGTGAAGCATTCTTCTCAGGCGTGCTCGGACTCCTCATCGACAATGTCTAAACCATAATTATTGGATATTCCTCGTTTTTGACCATCGATTCTTCTTTCTATCATGCTGCTTCCTCCGATCACCAGATTAGAAACATCTAGCGGCAACTTCCAGTGAAATGAGCCGTAAATTTGAACTTCTAAGAGAAGTTTCCAAATCTCTTCTTCAAAGTTCTCCGGGTTGACGCCTCGCGAATCAATCTTCCGATTTGTTGACTAGCATAACTAAGAACCTCCGAGGCAACAATTTCTCCCATGGTATTACGATCGACTCACCCACCATATCTCCGGCACTGAAGAAGCTTCCTGTAATTTTATAGTGCGCTTCACCCGCATCTGTGACCGCGCGAAGCGCTAAAGGGTACCGACAACCGACAGCAGCAGACAAGATATTCCCTGCCTTCAGCTCGGCTGGTCCAATGCATCCAACTAGATCTTAAAGTCGGGATGTGCGGGAAATAATTGGCCTTCTATGACGCATGTACTCTATATCTCGCACGGTAGATGGTTTCCAATCTTTCACATTCTCAGTGGAGTCAAGAGCTCCAGAGTAATCATCGTCAGATTCATCATCAGAACTATCATTCGAGATTCGCGCAAGTATCTGATCTTGTTTATGGGATGGTCGGGCGGATTTGCTATTCCATCCATACATGGCCCTCTGGCATAATGTTCTAGGCTGCCGATTTATTTTCTTTCCCGGTTTCTCTGATTCGATAGAGTAATTGCTCCAACAGTAATGCCGTGGATGTTGAAGTAAAGCATCATTGTCCTCCAACCTATGATTGAGCTCGACTTCCGCATCAGCAGAGAAGTTCAGATCATAACTTTCCTTATATTTGGGCTTAGGAAAATTGATTGGTAATGGCGTCAAGGCCCAGTCGGGAACCCAGGAAGGAATCCCGTCCTGGCAGTTCAATCCGCCATATGCTAGAAGGTCCAGGTTCTTCTCCCACTTAAATAGTTCTTTGGCGAAGTTAATGAAAACTTCTCGAATGGGGAGTCCGTAGTTTCGACGCAATGTCAGGGAGTCACTGTCCTTGCAGAATCCTTTCAATGCGTATATTTCATCTTGTACATTAGCAGCCGCTAGATTTTGTCTGTGTTATGTCGGCATAATTAGATAAACACCTGTGGGTGTACGGGCTGACGGGACACTTCCCAACTTCGAAATTTTTGACAAATTCATTCCTTGTGGGATACCAGAACTCAGATTTTGATTATTTCATTTCTAATCAATAACTGTAGTAAATCTTAAAATGAATCATTTGATTTATTGAGAGATATTCATAAGTCAATTTTTGTAGTGTCCCATCAGTCCGTACACCCACTGGTGAAACAGCCAAAGATATGAATTATATCTCATTGCAAGTAGTATGAGAATTTCCAAAAATTTGTTTGATTTACCATAAACGTAGTAATGAGAAAAGAGAAATCAGATGTCTCGTATGTATTGGGAAGGAAGTCTACTAGCGCAAGTGACTTTGTATTATCTAGCATATCCGACTGTCTAACCCTCAAGCATCTCGGTACTAATAGTAATGGCTGCTGAACCAGTATAGATCTAGTTAATTTTATAGGCAAATTAATCTTAAGTCTTAAAAGTATTAAAGAGTGTCAACAGGTACTAAAATCTTCAATCTCAATAGTAATATTACCAGTGGGTATACAGACTTACGGGATACTTAAGAGGAAAAGCATAATTTCATATCAAAAACAGCTATTTTGAAAATTCGATTGAAATTCAAAATTTCGATTAATTCCTTTTAAAATCAAATAAATAAATCTCAAGTATAAAAATTCTTTACGTTCTTAAAATTGAATTGAAAAGTTTAACATTAATATTTTTATAAAAGAATATATAATTTCTTATTAAAATTTTCAATAGAAAAGTATATTATTTGTTTTTTAATTTCAAATCCTTTTTTTATAGAATAAATCTTGGAAAAATTAATTTTCAATAATATAACTTATAGTGAACCGGATTATATAAGGAATCGGGTCACATTTAGCCCATTATTGACTTCAAATCCTAACAAATTTTGCTATACATACCAAATCACCTCTTACACTTTCTCAAATTAAAAAGAAAATATAAAATACTATTATTACATTTCAATTGAAGGAATTTAAATTAATTAAAAAGGCTATAGAGTATTTTGAAGTTTCTAAATCAATTCTTATAGCTAGAATTATTGAAAGGAAATCATATACTCAATCCCACAAAATAGCTCAAATTCTTTCAAATGTAGAAGAAAATACTCCTATATAATGAATTTCATAACTTATTATTATTAAATTCCCTATTATATTTATATTGATAAAGGAAATGGTCAACAAAATTCATCTTTAATATATTCAAATCATATTATCTCGAATTCCTATTTCAACAGAAATTCCATCTATAGGCTACAAATGGATCTATAAATTCCAAAAACGATATCCAGAATTTAAGATATATTATTTATATTAATTAGAGTTTAATCAAATTAAAAAGGTAATATCGAAGAATATTTAGGCTTGATTTGACACGTTTTGTATACATCTTATTGAATGAAAGTATGAATTAAATGATATGTATAATATAAATGAAATCGGATTTGGAATTGGAAGTACTCAAAGTATGCATATTATAGTCGATTCTATTTAGAAATCGAATTGGAAAGTTACAATTGACAAGTAAGAATGGATAATTACATTTGAATGTGACAATGTAGCTGGAAAGGCTTTATTATTTATAATCATTTTCAAGGTTCAGAATACGAATTCTGTATAGATTCTAAAGGATATATCTTAAAGCTGATAGTTTTCTATTAATACGAATAAATGGACCTCAAATAGTTATAAATTAGAATAGCTAAAAAGGGTTTTCGAATTAGAATCCAAGAAAATGTTAGGTGACCGATCTCGACTTTTAATCATAAATAATCATTCAAGTTATATTACAAGCAGTTTTATTGCTTTCTATATAGAGAAGAATATCGATTTATTTATATTACCTTCTTATTACTCTCACTTATTTCAACCACTTGATATTACAGTATATAGGCCAATGAAACAATATCATGCTTTAAAGATTGATTGATATTCTCGAACTAGTATAAAGCGAATCTAAAGAATTAAATAAATAGAACTCTTTCAAAATATTAGAAAAAAAGCATTGAATTTTTTTAATATTAAAGCTAGCTGGAGAGAAGCTAGTTTAATACCTTTTGCCCCACGAAAAGTACTCGATTCATTATTATTTAACTTCTTCTAACAACTTTCCATTCTATAAATAAGAATCTCCAATTAAGATCTAAACTTATCTATATTTAGAAGTTCTTCTTCAAATAGAACAGAACTAAGACAAGCAAATCAGACCTTTAATAAAGCTTTAACAAATAATAATTCTCTTGTATTACCAATTCATTAATATACCAAAAAAATAACTAGACTTATAGAATTTCAAAATGCTAAAATAGCCCTACTTTGGAAACAGTTTGCTAATGCTTAGGAGATAACTGAAACTCGAAAGAAAAGAATTAAAGGCAAAAGAGTTAAATTACAAGGTCAATTTGTCTTTAATAGTAAGGAAGTACTGAAAATAATATATAAGGTGAAAAAAAAACCTAAGGAGAAAAAGCCACAAGGATAACCATATAAACATCCAATTAAAGAATTAGAAAAGGAGATTGAAAAAGAAAAGCTAAAAAGTAGTTCAAGTAATTTAGAGTTGGAATTGAATGAATATGTAGCTCATAGAACAAGATCATATAAAGAGAATTGAATTTTGTAACCCAATTCCCCATATAACCCGGTTCATTATAAGTTACATTATTTTAAAATTATGTTTTTATTTTGATTAATATAAAATTATATTTCAGATTTTAATCGAATTTTGAAGTTGCTAAATGTGAATAGGAAATTGTACTCTTATGTTACATTATCCCGTGAGTTTATACACCCATTGGTGTATCTATAATAATAAGCTATTGTGGGGAGGAGCTATTTATAGTTAGTATGCATGAGGGTCACATATATAATAAAAGGATATGTTTGTAAAAGCAGGCTAGTTTTTAGCTTGCCACACAAACTTCCTACCAGCTCCAGGTGTCATTTTCATGCTGGAGCTTGTGCCGAATAGATTTGAGGGGACAAGTTGCCCCATCAAACAAGCGCGACTCGAATCGATAAGATCATAATATCTACTTTGCACTATCATTACTTTCAGCAAAGTATCTCTCTCGCTCGCATTCATTTCGCGTCTATTCAGGATAACGACACCTTCGGTAAGATGAGTCCTATAAGTTCACTCCAAACCAAATTCTCTTCAGGTGCTGCTTCTGGAGAATATTCTTCCATTGAGTCGGAAGAAAACTTGAAATCGCCAACATGGTCACCTTTGTATGGGCTGGGAGGGAAGATAGTTTTTCTCTCCGCAATACTTAGCCCTATCTTCTTGCTTCTTCTAGTCTTGAACCTACGCACCTCTTCACGTCCAGAAAATGATTATACGGCCCGTACCATTCTTGGAGAAAGTATGCCACCTTCCTCTCTCCTTATCCTCTCCCAATGTAAACACTTCAACTTACACTCTCTAGTTCCATGGATCCGACGGACTTTCAGTGAAAACGAAAATTTTCTTCATATTGATCCATACGATGGTCAGGCTTGGACTCTCTATAAAAACAAGAACTTTGATCCGGAACGTCAATTTACATCCTGGGACGATATTTATCCAAGTAATTTCATCGCGGTCGAAAATCCACAACAATTTGGATTCCAAGGTGGGGTGGAATTAAGTGCTGAAGCGCGGAACTCGACCGATTTTGTGGCTGGAAGTCAGGGATTTGGATTGGCTTTTTTGCATCAGATACACTGTGTTGTGCGCAGAGATACACCTTCTTCCTTGCTCTTGTAACAACTTGGCTAACACTGGTCTTTAGGGTGTTCTAAAACATTATTTGTCATACGAGAATCGTAGTGAAATGACTGCGCAGCAGACCACTCACACAGATCATTGCATAGAAATCCTAAGACAAGTTTGTTTGATTTCCTCAGTTATTCAACAATTTGAAAAGGTACTGACTTCTATTTGAAGCTTGTCTTATGCAAAGCAGACTTGAGTGTGCAGCGTCCAAAGGGGCTTGCCTCTTCTACGAGGTGGCCTTCACAGAAACAGCATATTTGTCGTGATGAAAGAGTTTTGATGGACGCGATATGGAGTCGTGCGATCGTTAAAGCGGATGGTGGGTGGATATGGCGACATAGATAGCGAGTTTCACACACAGGGGAAATGGCAGCTGTACGCTTCTTCCCACTCTTCTGTTTATCTGTTCGATACTTCTTACCACACTGTGCCAACAATTTGATCTTCTTCATTAGATAATAAAAAGTACAAAATAAGGATGATGGAACAATCTCTAGTATTTTCTGATTCATGCGCACTTGCTTCGCTCCATCGATGGGTATCTCAGGGGACTTGAATAATACACAGATAGCGCCACAACTAGCATTTTCACGTTTGGCAATTGCCATGTGTAAGAAATTCGCAGAACAGTTTATAAGCACCAGGGTGCGGTACAGATGATTTCAGGATGCATGCTCTCAAGTATTCGTTCTTTAGGCTGACAAGCATAACTGAGCCTCGTCAAGTCGCGTAAGGGAGATCTCTGCTTTTCGTAGATTCGACAGGCTGGTACCCGACATTCTAAGTACTTATACACGGATATCCAAAGCTTGAACACCTTGTCGCACCGGTCGTGAGGCCAGCAAGGCCCTCTACAATCTGCGTCTTCCGCCATCCACATATGCCTCAAAATCCTAAAGCACCCATTGAGGCTTTACTAGAATCCGAAGATGAGAGCAGCCCACATAGGTTTCAATCTATTTCGTCGAAAATAAGAATAGATAAGTACCCAGAATATTATCAAATACACGCTCCTGCGCTTTTGCCGAGTACCACGATATTATCAGCTAAATCTCAGGTGACGTATATAAACACCCACTGTTTAGAGAATGAACGGATGTTTCATAGGTAGTGGGCTCCGAGAAGAGCTCGTGGAAGAGAGTGAGATCATCTTGAATTCCGGAGCCGGAAGTATCTATTGTATCAAACGTTATGTCCAAATCCTCTTCAAATAAAGGCTGGTCAAGCTCCAGTGCAGTTGTTCCGATATAGCCGAAGTCCTCGTTGCCAACGACTGATTCTGAATCTTGCTCGGAGCTCGTTGGTACTGAAACCATCTGATTTCTCTCTTCAAGAAGCAGATCTAGGTCTGAAAGCAAAGATGCGGATTCGGTCTGCCTCATTGCACCGTCCCAGATTTCCGATATTGGTGTTGCGAGAGAAATTATGTTGGGACGCTCTTCGAGTGTTTCTTCAGGACATTGGTCGTTTAAATTGGCATAGCGTTGTATTTCGTCAAACAGAGAACTTTGCGTTTCACGAATCTCTGTGCTAGTCCAACCATATGCGATAAAGCCATTAAGAAGTGCTTGCACAGCAGCCTGATCGTATAATTTAATGTTGTCATATAAATCGCCGGCATAGGTCTTGATGAATTCTATGATAAGAGTAATATCGCTGACACTAAGCTTTCTTTCCCATCTAAATAAATTCCTTAGCATCTAAAGCATTAGCAATAGAAAAATGCAACTTACATGGTGGATACATTGCTACCCATGCGAAGTACAAAACCCGGTCCGCCTTCCATTAAAAGTCGTATATATCCTCGACCAGCCTTACGTTCAGCTCGAAGAGCGTCCATAGTTATGGAGATATTCTTCGCCTGTAGTTGAAAGGCAGCCGTCACTTTACCTCTACCTTGAGACAAAACAAGTTTTTGCGATTGTATTATCTGCTCCAAATCGTGTTCCAAGTAGATATAACAGAAGCGAGTTGCAGCGAGGTACTCCTCTCCGCCTCTTTTAATCTTTCGATGGCCCTCATAGAGACTTCGAAAGCGAGCTGTGGACCCTGTCACTTGTGGTTTAGAAAAGATGGCCGACTTCTTATTCCACATCTCCTTTGCAAAATCGCACGGGAGCTGAGGAGCTTCAAGGAAACCCTGGACGGCGCGAACAAGATATTTAGCGCGGTTTGCACGGGTAGTAAGCCGCGCCTCAAAGAATTGCTTTGCCCTGACAAGGATATTGGGAATAGCGGGATTGCTGGATAGGGCGGAAGATGTAGTCCGCGGCGACTGTACATGCTCCAGCGTCAAACCATAAACTCCTCCATCTTTATCGACAGGGATTTCACGATGCCCATCCTCTGGGCTTTTGTTAGATTCCCGAGGATGAAACGTAGTTGAAGAGATCACCGTAGAAGAGGGAGAGTTTGCAGTGACATTTGATAAACCAAAGGCCACCTTTGAGGGTGGAGCTCTTCGCTTGCGAGCAGAGCCATTTCGAGGACTGGATTGCTGCAACAGACCGTCCAGACGCCGCTTTTGGCAAATTTCGGATGTGACATCAGATGTGTAGGTGATACTGTCGTCAAATCCTAGGGAAGGTGAACAAACGAGATGAAATTCATGTGATGACGACGCTTGAGTAGAGAGCTTGTGCGCTTCCATAAAAAGTTGCCGTCGCTGCAGGATGGTTCCACGTCGCAAAAATTTCCGGAAGCTTTGTAGAGCATCCTAATATTTAGGATTAGTTAGCATTCTAACACTAAAACTGCGCTATCCGCATTGGAATCTTGAGGTAAAATCTCACTGGTGACTGGACTACGTCCCCCAAAGATACGTTTTCCAATGCCAGTTGAAATTCCGTGACCGGTTCTAATAGCTCTCTTCGAATCATGTTGCTTGTCAGCGGTTTGATATTCAAAATTCGATTCGCCAAGCTGCCAAGCTGTGTCAAGCTTTCAACACTCGGGTCTACGAACCGTTATAAACAGAGTAATATCCGACCACAAGTGCCAGCGCGCCGCCGATGTCATTTCCAACACCCTATCCGATTAAAGTTCATGTAGAGATTGTGACAAACTGACGATCGCACTCGGGAATCTCGGGCGGGATGTCACCGAGTCATGCTGTCTAAAGATAACGCATGAAGAAGAAGACCCAAAGCTTAACTTGAGATGACATTTCCCTTTCCTGTATCAAATCAAAACGGGTACCGAGTATACAATTAGAAGCTTTATCAAGTATTACTATCCAAACTACTATACGATATGTTAAGTAAAAAAGAGCTTAAGGTTATCTGTTTCTGCTTCGAATCTAGAAGGATTTTTTGAACTGCTGACCAAGCAGAAGTTTTTCAAAAACCTGTCAAGGTGTTTTCGAAGAAAAGTGGGGTGTACACCGCATTATCTCTCCCTCAAAACCTAATAATGCTTATTAAAAGACCTCCCCTTATTATACTTTGAAAGAGGCATTAATTATATTATATGAAAAGATAAGAAAAAATAAAAGTTTGATTAGAAATAAGCTTTCTATTTCTATTTTGAATCTAAAAGATGATGGTAGAAGGGGTTTTATCGGGCAATATCAACTCACCGCCGTACAGCCTGATAAAGTGCGAAGACTCGAAAGCTTATCATGGTGTAAGCTTTCAGGTTCCTAGTTTAAAAGTTAAGAATCTATTCTAGATGGTCATGTGCTGCTTCAAGCATTTTCGAATTGATAGTCTACAGAAATTATATCCAAGTGCCTTAGCGAGATTGACCAGGCGCCAAACGAATCTCTTCTGCAGAGCGTTAATGCTAACTACGAATAGATGCATCAAGTGGCTCGTAATATTCAAATCACATTTACCGCTTTAAAGCAACACTCAATCATGCTGATGCAAGTCTATGATTCCGTACGGAAAGGGGAATTGATTGAGTTCGTACGAAATCAATCAAAGTCAAATCCTAATTTGCGGAATGCGGAGGATTAGTGAACTTGTTTCAGGAGGCAACTGTCCTGTTAAACAATGTTAATCTCAAAATACCTCTCACTTCCCTTCGACACCCTCGAACCACATCCGTATATAATACAAGTGCCCGGTAGGAATGGAGTGCTCAATTCAAAGTGACAATTAAGTGGTCGCCTATGTATTTCGACAAATGTCTTCTCTACTTGTCGGCTTGCGGACCGGCTTCCGCAACATCCTGCCTCACGCTTATATAAACATCTCTCAATCTAATCACCATGACAGCGACACAGAGGATATCAAGACGAAAATATCGGAAGTGGACTCAAGGACTTCCCGTAATATAAATGGCATCTCTGTATATCATGCGATATTCCTCTACACTTTATCACTTTCACTCGCGGTAGCCTTGGCCATCACTATATTGGGAGCAGCTGCAGAGTGTGATGGTCCGTTGGGTAGTTATGAGAGAGGATTCAAAACTGAGATACGTGGGTTATTCTGATAATGAGAGCTCGAAATGCTGTGGGAAGCTGAAACTCGATAGTACCTGATCGCAACACAATGGCTTTGCGAAAAGTCAAGTTTTATGGAGGATTTGTGTATGATGAGAACGGCACCGCGTCTCTCACCCAGCCACCTGGCCCTGATTATTTTGGCATCCCTAGTCGCGAAACAGACGACTATTGGAATCTCGATTTGAAAGGCATGTTTCAAACTACCGTGGAAACCTGAGATTTTCTAATACGTTATCGCATTGGCCAGATCGATTTATTGCTGTTCCACCGAAAGACTGGCCATCGGAAGCGGTTGAATTCTTTGATAAAGACTTGGTGGATGGGACCATACGTTTGGAGCAAGTTCTCAATGATCTGTATGAAACATAGCATTCTAACCATCAAATTTGTTCTTTATAGAACAAATGGATTACATTCACTTCATTGTTTAGTAGGTTTGATTTCAATTTAGCTGTATGTCAAAAATTGACCTCAGGATTAGAATTATATCAGAAAGTCACTGTCACCCGAGTGGTATTTCCGCCCCGCAGATCCAGATCCGCAAAGACCGCTTGAGATGCATTTGAGTAAGTTGAAATTATGGAGTAGTAGAACTTCGTAACTAAGTTGAACGCAGAACACTGTTTAGTGCAAATTCACCAGCTCCTCAAGTGTCAGCTTGACATGACTCCAATTCCAAGAACGTGGAGGCCAACTAAGCATATACACCATGCGGACACAGACATGTGGCATGTTTGCAGAGATTTTAGTGCCTTGAGGAACTGGATGTATCCATCAGAAGAACACCATACATGATGGATTTGGCGCTGTACTTTCTATCCAAACGTAGTGGAATATTTCGCCTTGCATTTCCCGGCAATCACTTATCTTTGTCTTATTTACATAGATTTGATAATGAACATAGTACAAAAAGTATCCATCGCTTTATTGCAGACACCGAGTCAGTCATTTGTAACGAATGAAAATTGAAATCGTGACCTATATATCAACAACATACATGAGAGCCTTGTCAAAGTTCCTTTCATTCGTAATATTGATCCCATCACTACAGGGGGTGAGTTCTCGACCTCGTTTAGACGTTTGCTTTCATTTATTACGGAAGAAATAAAGACTAAAAGCCAAATACTTCCCTAATTGCTACGACAACTATTATCAATCAACTATTTCCGGTTGTAATGGAATTCAAATATGATTAAAGGAGGAACCGTAAGGACGTCAGAAAAAAGTGAACTCGACTCGGAACTTTGGGTAGCGCCTGAGGCTCATCTTTCCAGGGGCACTTTCCCTCTTGAAAGGCACTCATACGTAAATTTGGCGATCGTTCTCGGCCATTATAGCGCCTACAGATTTAAAACAGATTAGACAAATCCTTCATTCCAGTTGACAGTCTGCCCGTCTTACTTTCGTCATTGTGCGTCAATATTTTTGCAGGTTGGGACGCTACTGAAACTAGCTAGGCGAATTCGATTTTTTCCCCAAGTGTTGACTTCAAGCTGTTACTTATATTTAATCTACACCGGAAGAATGAGTGCTAATACGACGAGTAAGGTAAGATGATGCTGTGATACCGATGGGAGATTTTGCTAACATCACAGCATTAGATGGAGCAGAGACTTGCACTCCTCGGAGAGGCAGAATCCGAGCACGCCTACCCAGCAGGCTCGGAAGATGGCAACAGCGATCACACATTGTCGCCATCTTTGTGCGACGATGAGAAGCTTGACGATAATGAGCACCTGCGTTCCATCAGGAAGTGGCAGTACATAGGTATTTATATCGGGCTAGCCTTTTTATTCGTTATATTTGGTATAGGCTGGATTCTCAGTACAAGATTTTCTTTCGGTTCATCTTCAGCCCAGTTTGTAAACATGGGAGAATGCGGCCGTACACCGCAAGAAGCCCGAGATAGTGGGTGTGTCTTCGATCTTATGATGTCCGGTTGGGTGCATCCTCCTTGTTACGACCAAGAACTGTCCGACGAGTTTTTACTGGTCAACAATTTCACCTTCTACAGAGAACGAGAAGGTATAAATACCCTGACGGAAGCTGAGGCTCGCCTGGGAAATTACGAGGTCATATACAGTCATGGAACTTTCCACTATCAGCATTGCGCCTACATCTGGGCCAAGCAAATCCGTGCGAATAGAAAGTCGCCCCTTGTTCTGGACAGTGTATCACGTTCAAAAGAGCACGTTGAGCACTGCTACAATCGGGTCGGGAGCCCGAACGCTACTCAGCTCCAACTCGCAACTGGGACGAAGATAAAGAGATCGGCATTCAGGCTTAGATGTATAATTGGCGAGATGGAAGTCCCTTGAAGCCAATACTGTAGCAGGGAGGTGTAATTAGCAGCAGCGGAGCCGGAAATTGGTTGTCAGGAGGATCAAATGGATATTTCATCCCATACGGCTGTATGCAATTCATGAAGAGACTCTTTTGAAGACCTTGCTACATTGCAGACGACAATCTTGTCACCACCTTACTTCTTTCAGTGCACCCCGCACGACCAAAGTTAGTCAGAATTTTTGCTTCGTTCATCATCCCATGTTCATGAACCCAAGATACACTTAAGTCAACTTCGGAGTCTTTTGAATTCACCCAAATCAATCACACAATTTGTCTTCGTTCATGTAAAAGCCATTCGCAAGACATTATCGTCTTTAAAGATCCCATTGTTGTCTCCCAGATTGTTTCACCTAACAGCCACCCACTGATTATTTTTAAAATGTTTTAATTGAAGGTCCTCGGATAGTAAGATTACGTTTGCTTTCGTCGCATTTGAAGCCCATGAGAGCAAAGCAAGGCTCAATACGCTGGGATCTGAAATATTAACAATGACATGTATTATTGAATTATGAATATACTCAGTGATATAAAATTTAACAGAAACCCTTGAAGTATCCTCATAATTATCGATACTTATTAAAAAGTGGGACGTAATTGAAGTGCAGAGAATACTAATCACAGCACCGGTAGAATTTCATCAACTTGCACGCTCGAAATCCTGCCTGTGAACAACGGCTTCAGGCATTGCCTATGTCTCCGTTCTTCCTCCCTTCTCTGTTTCCCTGTACCCCATCCAGATACATAGTTTCCTTAAAACACCCTTAAAACACCGTCTCGACAATTCTCGAGTCCTTGAAGTTCTGAAGCATATCCCAATTCCGGCAAGTATGTACAACATCCGACTGGACAAAACTTCTCCCATGACCTTCGTACCATATGACTGGTATTGGTGTAAGATCAGCATGGCACATTAGCTGCTGTCTAAGGTGATCCAGGCAATGATCGCGGTGTGCTCTGTCCGGATAGGCATGTTTCGTCTTTTTATTGTAATAGAAGTCCTTGTCTAAAGCTTTCCTGATCTCGTCGACGCAATGTAGCGCATGGTAGACGTCCAGTCCCACCAGGTAGCCGAGACCAGGATGATTGTAAAGTCCGTGAGGCTTTCCGAATGCGATTTCAGCCTCCTTTTCGGTGACGTTGAAATATCGACCTTTGACCAACCCCGTCCACGCTGCGTCTACTGCGTCCGTAGGTGGTCCGACGTATCTTGGCTCGGAAGGATCGTGGACTATATATCCAGTACCATTATCGTACCAGCGAGGTCCTCCATAGAACATTTTTGGTTCTTGCTTGATGTAAGGCTTTGATGGGTCAAATTCAGTAGTAAACCCTGTGCCGAATGAACCGGGACTAAGGTCGCGGTGCTTGTGTAGCCTAGATTGCCAAGAAACCTGGACTACAGTGGTGAATGCAAATATTCCCGCGAACACCCATCCCAAACACAAGAAGCATGTTGAGAGAGACTGAATAGCTGGGCTTGATTTTCCAGATTCCTCTTCACTTTGCTGCACTACTTCGTAGCTTGGGGAGCGGGTAAATTTCATCGTGGTCTTGTGATGTCGGCTGATGGAAAAGTTGGAAGACGCGCCTTTACTCAAGATTCATGTCTTATTTAGGCTACCTGGATATATCTCAATGTTTGTGTTGGTAGTCTGTCCAGTATTTAAGGGGGCAAAATCCGCGTTGCCGCTTGGTGGGCGGATTGGTTGAGGCTATCTTTGAAGGGGCAACATTCGGGGGTTTCATTATAGCACCCTGATCCTAGTGAGCGTTATGAATTTAATCCAATGTTCTCTTGGAATACTTAACTTCTGCCTGCTTTGCTCTCACATATTCGACACCAGATCACTCTGTCCCAGAATATCAAGAGCTTCCAGTGTTTGTTCTCATTTCTGAATTCATCTTCCTCTTACTCTATTTGGTAAATCGCTACAGATGAACTCCCCGGAATATCTCAAATCGCCCCTTCTGGGTTCAGGGTCAGAAAGCGGCGATTCCACACTGTTTTCCACCCAGGAGTATGAACGCGAGCAAAAGCCGCGAGCGAAAGCGAGCTGGTACACTTACATGGTGTTATCGGTAACAATTATTTTGGCATGGACATCCGGCCTCCTTTTATACAACCATTACACGACTAACTCTCCTTATGCCCTGACCCACCGAGGAGAATGCGGGTGGTCGGTTGCAGAAGCAAAAACAAACGACTGCGTTTTCGATATTATGATGTCCTCGTGGCTACCCAAGCCGTGTTACGACAAAGAGCTCTCGGATCGATATCTCGCTGTTAACAACTTCACATTTTGGGAGCACAGCAAGGGTACGGGTCAGCTTTCACTAGAAGAGGTGCAGAAAGGAGAATTCGATATCATCTTCACTCACGCCACATATCACACCCAGCACTGCCTGTAAGTAAACCTCTCTTGTCAAGATAATTAATGGTCGCAATGCATCTGCGACTGATATCACAAGCTCTTAGATGATGGTATTATACGTTCACTGACTTTGAACTATGAAATAATAGTTTCCTCTGGGAAAAGCAAATCAAGGCTGCAAACTCAAGACGCCCAGTCTTGGACTCCATTACAAGAAATCAACATCATATAGAGCACTGTATAAGGATCCTGACCGCTCACACAGCCGAGAGCTATACCTCGACTCAGACATCGTTCTTTAAGACTGGAACGCCGATTCACGTAAAGCCGCAGAACCAGATATGCTGGGAGGGTTGAAAGTGCCTGTGAAAGGGGCTACGAGAAGGTTCCTCAGATGAGGAACTCGGATATTGATGTCCTATTTTGCGGTAGCTAAAAAATGGAATCGGGATTGAAATTCTTGGCTAGATTTGTTTTAAAGACGATCTTTTCCACCCAACATAATTGTGTATTTTATTAAAAATTTGTCGCACAGGAACCGTTTTACTTAGCCAGGTAGGTTACGCCAGTGCAAATTCCCTTTTCTACTCTGTAATGCTGTCATTTCTTCAGTTGTTTTTGGTGAATACTTGAAAATCGTAGGTAAGAGCTTCGAAGCGTGGGCAAATTGCCGAAGGAATTCAGTTCAGGCGTCTTATTCAAAGTGAGAATTAAATATATTGCAATACGAGTGAGTATACACACCTCAGTGTGCGTCAGCACATGAGCATGTTCTATATAAAATTCTTGATAATGAAACTAGAATAGACAAGCACAATGCAAAACATTCAAACCATACCCATTATAAAGATATTATAATAATCATCAAGGTGATACTAAGAATTACAAAGTTTGGCTTGGATGCTTTATTCTCTCCTTCAAATCTATGTAAAGCGCGGAAAGGATGGATGCGGGTGCAGAGGCAACTTCGGCCCGCGAGGGACAGCAATACTCCCATTGTATCTCTCTTTGGAGAACTCATGAAGTTTCTCGAAAGCCCTGCAGGTGTGGATTTGCTTAGGATTAATATACTGGCCACGTTTATCATGCCACTCGCTAGGAGATATAACGCTGCTGCCCTGACACATTATCACCTGTCTTAAATGATCGATACAATGCACTGAGAAATTTATGAGTTTGACTGCCATTTTTCAAGAGGGAGGGGGGTCTTTTTCCACTTACATTGGTGTATCATCCCTCGATGTCCTTCTTCCGGATAGATGTCGCGCCGTAGAGCTTTTCTGAGTTGATTCTGTCACCAAGTTGTCAGCGGCGTTTATATCGATTGTGCTTTGGTATACAGCGTACCAGGCAATGTAGACAATGAAACATATCGAGCCTAAGTCTGTTAGATATCAAGACAAGGCCAGCTTGAAGCATCAGTAAGAACTCACGTGCCAGTCCACCCACCCCTAATCCTGTCTCTATACCTATCAGACTCTGTACCCCACAAGCTTCTAGCTTCATCCTCAGAGACTGAAAAGTAATGAGATTCTCCTCCAATAATAGCATTCCATGCTTCATCAACTTCGAGACTCGGCTCGCCGACATACTTTGAGGGAGCGAGGACTTCTATGCCTTCAGGGGTGAAATCCACCCCGCCAGTAAATCTCGTCTGTATGAGCTCGAATGTCTCAGATGGTGCTATTAGTCAAGTTATATCAGCGAAGAGCCTAAGGCTGGAGAAAGAAACATCGATTTCAATTGACTTACTGACGATGAGCTCTTCAATAAATCCACTTTCGGTCGAGCCCAAAGGACTATCACGTCGCGTTGTACTAGTCATACTGCCCGCCACGAAAGCCGCCGCACTCCATAGAAGCAATACAGTAATAGTGATAACCATTCGGGTAGTATTGCTTACAGGTTCAGGCGATCTCGGTATCTCTGTGTTGCCCTCATCCTTCGGTAGCAAATTTTCTTCACTTTCCGTTAATGCTTTGTCGGCTCGGTGTTGATCTCTCCATCTTTCGGCCTGAGGATTGAACAATGTCGAAAATAAAGCCATGTCGGATTGAAAAGTGAATGTAAAGGAGCACAAGTAATCGGGAGGTTGTGATGGGTATCTTGATGTAGAGGAAGCCGTTTGATGTGGTTTTCATTTGAAGTGGCAAGTGCCCCGTGAAATGAATTTGGTCTGATCGTCGGCTCGCTTATCAGGGCAGGGGGCTTTGCAACTTAAACAAAAGTCGCGTAACTCTCACAGATCGCGGGGGAGAACTTTATATCGGGAACATCGTGAGAATAACTCTGGTAAAACATTACTTGATTGAAGGAGGTTCAAATTTGAGCGTGAGCCTGCAATCGAGAGTCGGTTGGCTGGGATAGAGACTCTGCCGAAGTCTAAGCACAATACGCGATGGCCCAGGATTGGAAATTCTTCATGATATAATTGAAGTCGCACTATGAATGTTCACCTTTTTTCGACACTCTCCAAGTACAAATGAGGTCTTCCGGTTTCGCAATTCTCTAGCGGTCAAGCCACCAGCTCTATTTCAATTTTGGTCTTTTTAGGATGATCAACAAAGGACCATTGCTAGTACTTGCTTCTCATTTTTTTGCTGTAATGATTCACGGTATGGCCAAATAACTAGAGACAGCTGCATCAGTAGATCCCCAAACAGATTCTTCAAGTCCGTATGTTCATCACTTTGAGTATCAACAGTATTTTCCTCACGACACGCTACCCGATGAGCTGCCTCATGGTAAGAAAAGTGTTAGACGTCTGCTCATACTGAGAAGCTTAGGAGGAATTTGTGGCTCAGCTAGATTTTACTGTGAGTATCCCGTTAGTTATTTGGCATCGAGATCAAGAGCATCCTCGCCTTTGAACCCTTGTCTGACTCCCAATATCGCCTCAGATTCCCTGCAGTATCTTCCTCTAGCAGACGCAACTGGTCTGAATATTCTCGCGCCCTTGGAAGCTAGCCTCGTCACAACAAGAAAATTTACCTTGATAGAAATTGGTTCTATTGCAATCTGTTTCCTTGGTGTGGGACATATCACCAAACCAGGTTTTGTCATCGATTTGCTTTGGTACAACGATGTAGATAATTACCAGAAGAATTGGACGTCTCAATCGTGGCTGGGATGGGCTTGTTTGATGATTGGAGTCCTAGGGGGAACCGTGAGCAGAAGACGTATTTTATTTATTATTTTAAAAATTTCATTGACTTCAGCACTTCAGTGCGCTTACTTTTCAATTTCCAAGATCGGATCACGATAACATCCACTTGTGATAACTAACTGTTTTGCCACTGGTGTCCTGATTGTAAGCAGTGCTTGCTTTGCTGCCGATCCGGGAGTCAACTTCAACTTTAACCTGGGCTTGTTACCGTGGTCTACTATGGGGTCTATTGGGATTTCTGGAGCCTTAAAGGTAATACAATATTCCTGATACATTAGTTGATACTGATTGGATGCATTAGGAGTATCTTTTAACAGCAGGCCTTTCTGCTGAAGGAAATAGTCATGCCGTGCACATGATCTACTTGCAGGTAGTAGTCGCCCTCGTTGCAGATTGGCTGATCTGGAATAATATACCTGACATCACTTCTGTCGTGGGGGCGGGGCTGATTATTCAGGCTGTGTATGTGATACAAAAGTATCAATATAGAGATGATGATAAAGTTGACATTGAAATGGCACATTTTACGCAGATTGTGGTTTAATGACCCAAGCGTTGCTATGATCAATTCGTTTTAGATAAAGATATTTTCTTAAAACAAGAAAGTTGAACTATTGCTTACGAAAGGCTAATTATCGGAGATTCTGCCTGACGATGTTTTGAAGTACGGAGTAGTAAATGCCATTCTGCAAGTCAGTGTCTTGATTTAGTGCTGAAGATAATCACGGCAATTATCTCGAGTCATCGACATTATCATGATATACTTTTAACTTGAGTTTGGAAAGAAGTCAATCCAATGATTGACTTGAAATAAAAACCATGAGAATATTCAACCTGTGCTGACAGATCCTCTTTTTGCGAATGGAGAGTTTGAGATTTACACATCACATTTTGGGAAGATCACATTAAGTATCGAGAGACACGGAACACAACAATGGAGGTCCAAAACGTTTCAATTAGCTAAATGAGTGTTGCAACCTGCCAGCGGGTAGTAATTGGGTTTCGAAATGAGTCCAGATCCAAATCCATTCTTCAACGGATGAAACTACAGCAGCTCCATTCCATCCCGCTGTTACGCTCTACAGGTCAAGTACTAAGAAATAACGACCAAAGAATATCGGTTGGAGCTAATTCCTTATGAGGTGGGCCTGGATCAGCAAGCGGTTGCTCTACGCGATCTCAGTGAAAATAGAGCGCTCAGTGATCTGAGAAGAAATAGGTCAGCGTTTGTGTTCAATGAATTGTTTTGGTAATCGACCATACCTCTGGACTACACTCGGCATCACTGCCCTCGGAGCAGACAAAGCAACATTCAGCAGAGTAGCAGCAGGTGTCGGAGTTAACACCTTCGCAAGATTGGCCGTTGGAGCACATAGGTGTACGAGTATCCAACAAATTTGGGTAGGAAGGACCAGCAACGGCGAGGGTCGCAAAAGCAGCGGCTGCGGCCATAAAGACTCGAGAGAAATACATGATGATGATTTCTGTATGTGGTGGAATTTTCTTTTGTTGGAAGTTGACTAGTGAAAAGGCTGAATAATGAGAAGAATGTTCGGATGTGTTGTGTTGTGACTAAATAGTTCTTGCAGTAATCGCTGCCTATATATGTTCTGAAGTTTGTTAGGCCTTGGAGTGAATTTAGAAACATACCCTTTCCAAGGGCAGCTGCTCTGTGAAAGAATTGCATCAAATACAGTTTGGTTTCGGAGCGTCGGGCATAGATTATTCTAATTTACTAGATAGTTCTGTGCACAGTCGCGTATGGCAGTGAGCCGCTCCACATGAGAACATCCCCTTAAACAATCAGTGTCTGGTCACTAAAACTCCGCCATCGCACTTTCTGTACAATACTACTAAGTAGCAATTTAAATAAAATGCTACAGCCACCTAGAGTTACCCTCTTTTGTTTGTACTCATACTATTTACATGTTGCATTCATTAAAGGCTCCAAATTTTCCTATTAGCGACACGTATACCTACATTAGCCCCTAAAATCGAATCAGGTACATGAATCATTCCAGTTCTCTAAGTCACCAGATGATCAAGATGGAAGCTTTCATGAAAGACCACAGCGATACCATCAAACTGTAGGTTTTCGATTCACTATCTGAGATCATCATTTATCTACTGACAGTTTCTGAGGTATGTACCACTCTTGGGCAGATTCTTGATAGTTGTCACATTCTTGGAGGATGCTTTTACCATCATTACTGCGTGGAAGAATCAGCTCATATTTCTGCATTTATACCGAAAATGTTCGTACTGCAGAGCCAAACTTAACGATGGAGCGTCTACTGACTTATTCAAAGTTGACTATGGAGTAGCTAATCTCATACTTCTTACTAATGTTGTTTTGATGCTGTCCTGCTCCTCCCTCGTCCTTGCCCGAAAACACACAGAATTTGCTGTTGGAGGTCTCATTTTTGTGGTTATAACGCAAGCATTATGTTATGGCATGATCTCGGACTTTGGCTACTTACTACGTAATCTTTCGGTTCTTGGGGGGTTGCTGATAATGCTCTGCGCGTCGTGGGCTCGCAAGAGACCAGCCATGCCTGGCCTACCTATGATTGAGCAAAAAGATCACAAGATGTATGTCCAGTTTGCTGGTCGAGTACTAATTGTTTTAACTTTCCTTGCATTCTTTTCCAGCCTGGAATTGAACTTATTAACCGTTATTATATCCATCATCGGATTTGGCGTCTGTGTTATGGTCGCCGTCGGCTACAAAGCGAAGATCAGTGGCATTGTTCTTGTCTCCATGTTGAGTGTCCTCAACTTTCTCATCAATGATTTTTGGAATGTAAGTCTGAACTAAGATTTGTGAAAAACCAAATGCGCTGACCGGGAATACAGCTTCATCAGACTCACCCTCGCAAAGCATTTGCTAAATATGATTTTCTGCAAACCTTATCTATTGCAGGAGGTCTCATTCTTCTTGTAGATAGTGGCCCAGGTGCATATAGCATTGACGAGAAGGCGAAGGGACTTTGAAATGCCCAATATCACAAGATCGGTGGCATGAATATCTTATACTCTTGCACGAAGTAGAATCTGGGGGGTTAAATTGATATGTAGAGGGTTAATTTTCAAGTTGCAGATACTTTTTACGCAAGTAATGAAACAGGACATGAAATAACATCTTTGAATATGGAATCAAGCAAATTATTTCATGGTTCACGCATTGTAAGAGTTCAGGCCTCGGCTTATCGCACACCACCTTATTTTGTAACAAAATCCCTACAAAAATATCGTTTTCCTATATAAACTAATTATCCTTATAAATCTTTAACAAATGAATGAATTGATTGAAAAAAAAAACATATTAGATAGTTATAACGTAGTTTATTAGTGTGTATATTACTTTTACCTTAATTTATATTTTCAAACTCATATTATTCAATAATAATTAAATCAATTGATTAAAATTATTCAGAATCTAATAATTTAGGGTCTATTATATTATTTTGATAGGTTTTTGTATTGTAATTCGTCTTTTTGTATTTGCTATAATATTGAATAGAAGATACTTCTTTATTAAATTTATCCTCTTTTTGATACTTATTATGTTGAATCTGAATATCAATTTTTTATTAAAATAATATATTAAAAGCTTCTTGTTTAGTAAGTATTCCTTCTTAATATAATTGGATTTTTTTCATACATTAACATTTACTTAATACCTTATTCGCTATTTGAAGTATATAAATCTCTATATTCAAAAGTATATTTTTATAAGCTAATTATTTTATATTTGTTGGTATTATCATGGGGATGGTGAAGTTAATATAATACTATAATTCATACTATTGTTATATTACTTAAGGTTCTAAAAGCTAAGATTATAAAACATATTATTATAATATTTAAAAATATTAGTGTTAATGTTAATATAATTATATAATCTCTATACTAATATTAATAATTTTTTAAAGTTATTGGATTATATTCTTCTAATTAATGTCTTTTTTGTCTATATAACCATTTATTCTTTTAATTTCTTTTAATTTACTTTATAATCTTAATCTTTATGATATTATTATTAATTAGATCTTTTAGGATTTAATACAATTTGAATTTAATCATTATATTTATAGGATTAAAATTTCTATTAATTTATTTAATCTTTATAATCTTTTATTTCTTATATATCTTTTGAATTATTATTATATTAATTAATCTTTTTTCATTAATAATTCTAAGTTTTATAAAACAATTATAAAATGATTTGGAATTAATATATATAATCAATAGGATTTTATAATTCGAAAAGATCTTATTAATCGTATTTTTAATTATCATACTAATATTAAAGTCTAAAATTATAATATATATTAAATGGATTCAATGCCCTCATTTAGCGTAGCTTAATCATCAAGAGTATATCACTCTTAATTCTTATATAGTTAATATAACAGTTATTATAATACAAACCTTTTGTTGGAAGTTGTGGCACGTGCTCTAAGCTACTGTGCATATATCACTTCCACTTCGTAGTTAGATTTTACCTTAGTACAATTAATCTACATAGTCAATAATACATGCATTCCACTGGCCTGCTCCTTTATTGTGAACACCTTTGTATATTTATAATAGATTATAAATCTTTTACTTCTAATATTATAAAAGGTATATTGCTGAATTTACTTATTAATATCTATTATTAGTCCAATAATTATTCATTTTATATATTAATTGATTCTATCATTAGAACAAGTATTCAATATAACCTTTTTTTTTTTAAACTTTATTATTAAAACGAATGTATTTACTTTTTTTAAAAGATTATTTACTTTAAAGGAAATTTTTTTTGTTAGAATATTTATAAATTCGGATTTCTTTAACCAAAACTAACTATTATTCCGAGGATTTTTTTGGTGGTCAGCACTGGTGGTGACC